AGCTCCAGCCTGCCGCCGAGGCGCCCCGCCGGTGGCGGGGAGATGGAGCGGACGGAGCCCGTGTCCTCTTCCTGGGAGCAGCCCGCCTGGATGGCACGGAGGTAGCTGTGGCTCCGGGAGCGAAAGTAGCTGGGCAGAGGCAGGTCCAGCACCTCCGCGGCGGCCGACTCGGCCTCGCTGTAGGTAGAGTCGCAGACCGCCTCGTACTGCTCCCCCAGCTCTGGCTCTGGCACCTGCACGGGAAGAGGGGCAGAGCCAGTCACCCCCTGCCTCTAGGCAGCCCCTTCCCTTCCCCTCCTGCTCCTCTCCCTGCAGCCACCCTGCGTGGTCCCACTTAGGGCAGACGAGACCAGGAGGTGCAGCGGTCAGTGCTGGTGGGCTGCGGGATGCCTGCGCTCTGCCGAGAGAGAGGGAAGAGGGGATCCTCCTTGGAGGCCAGAGTCCCTGCTTGTGGAGTAGGAGACGTTTACCACCACAGTGCCTGCGCAACACCCCCAGTCTCTGACGGAGAGGCTGAGAGCGCGTGAGGCTCAAATCCCTGTCCAGCCCCTGAGAGGTCCCCCTGCCCCACCAGCACCGTGGGGAGACCCCAGCCTCAGCCGCATCCCTGCCGGGGCAGGTGTGCTCCTCGGTGCATGGAGATGGCCTGGCCCTGCAGCGGGGCGCAGCGCGGAGAGCGAAGGTGGGAAGGTGTGGGCTGGGGGACAGCCTCCATGCTTGACCAGGGACAGGCACCTGGGTGGCACCATCGGGAACCCATCCTAGCCCCCTCCGCAGTGGGGGACCAGGAGAGGGCTCGGCAGCAGGCTGCAGCGAGGCGTGAGCCGAGCAGGGGCAGCTTCGCTCCCCGCTTCTCCTGCTGCCCCCACCTCCCTCCCCACCGTGCCCCCGGCCCTGCCCGGCTCTCCAGTAGCAGTGGCTGGTCAAACCTGGACTCCGGAGAGGCTCGCCCAGGCTAAACCAGAGCCAGCCCAAAGCAGAACGTTCTGAAACACGGATGAGAGATGCTGAGATTGGCTCTGTTGCCCACTTCCATCTCTCCTGGCCCTTTCTTTGGCCTCAAGGACAGCATTTCTGCCCAGCATTGGCATCTGAGCTCCACAAGGTTTGCCTCAAAAAGTTCATCTACTTTCCCGCTATTGGCAGTCCCTAACCCCTGCCAGGGCCAGGGGAACCAAGCTCTCCAGCTGCCCTGCAGCGCCGGGTCAGGAGCGCTGCCTCCTTCTCCTCCTGCCGCTGGCCCTGGGCATGGGCTGACCCCACAGCCTGCCTCGCGCCCTGCCGTGGGTGTCCAGGCTGACCCGAGAAAGCTCCTTGAGGAAGGAAGAGGGAAACGCCAGCGGGATGGTACCTGCTCTCCATGGGTAAATATCTGAGGGATAAGTGAGGGGGGTCCAAAGATCTGGAAGAAAGAGTTGGAGAAGGTTAAAGGCCAAGAACGGGTGAGCCCCTCACACAGACAGCCATTGCACAGGGACCGAGGACAAGGGGAGCGGACGGCCCGTCCCCAGGGCCACTGCTGCTGACACTTCAGTGCAAACGTCAGAGCTCAGAAGATGCCAAGCAAGATGCCGCACAGGCCCCTCAGACAGCGGCACAAACACGGCACGGTAAAGCTCCATGGGACGCCTCCCAGACGGAGAGAAGCTGCTGATGCATTCAGCCTGTTGTATGCACCATAGATCAATGTATATACACAGGGCACGCTTGGGACACACAGTGCTGGGACACCCCTTGGCACGTGTGGGTTGCCTGTGGCTGCTGTGGCTCCCAGTTAGCACGTCTGCGAAGCCCCCAGCATTGGCCAGCACCTCGCAGTGCGGCCAGGAGCAGCGACGGGCCCCCGCGGCCCGCAGAGCCGGGGTGGATGGGCAGCCTGAGTGCTCCACGTCGGGAAAACTGTCCTTCGCCCTGATGGGGTCAGGCTGGCCACTCACTGCTATCTCCTTCATCCCTGCGCCAGGAAGAAGCCACATGGAAGCGATACTGCCTTCTCTCCACAGCAAAGCCACAGCACACACTCGGCATAAGGACAGACGCCCGACAGACACTGCGCTGCCTGTAGGGAGGAATGCCTTCTCCTTCTCTCCGTCCCTGGTCTGCAAAGCACATCCACCCTATGAGCTCTGCCCGGCGCCAGCTGCCCAAGCTGACCCACCTTGGGAAGAATCCAGGTTCAGAATGCACCCAAGGGAAGAGGCTTGGCTCTGGGTGCTGGGTCGGGCCCTTGTACACAGGGCACAGCTCAAGTGTGGATACGCAGTGTTGGGGGTCACCAGCTGGCTCTCTCTGGCCACTGGTCCCCTTGGTGCGACAGCTGGGTGCTGGCACGCACACCCGGTGAGCCCTGGACTTCCAGAGGTTTGCAAGGTGGACGTCAGTTGGGACACAACCAAACGGAGTGGACTTGTCTTTCGGAGCTGGGGATGCGTCAGTGTGGGAGGACACCAGGCTCTTGCTGGACACACAAGGAAGGTGTTGGAGGTTACACAAAAGCGAGGGCAGGGGAGGAACTGTGTCTGGCACTGGATGAAAGGGCAGGTCAGACCTGCCAGAGGATCGGACCAGCACACACTGGTGGCTCTACCAGTTCCATCCTGGATCAACAGAGATGCAATCTGTGGGGGGCCCCTAAATCCCAGCCCAGCTGCAACTGAACTCTCCGATTTGGAGGAGAGCGGGCAGAGCGCCGTGATGACAGCAGCCCCGTGCCTGAGCGAGTGCGGTGGGAGTCGGTGAGCCCCCAGCACCACAGTGCTACCAGTCGGGGCGCGGGGCACTGCCTCGGCAGCTCCTGGCACATCGTGGGCTGCTCAGACCCTCCAGCGCCAGGACCCTTCTGACGTGTTCACGAGGGTGCTGCACTCAGCTGCTAAATGGCAGCTTTAGATAGGGAGAGAGCACAGACTCAGCCTACCCGTTGTCTTCATGGAGAGACCTGGCTTCAGACACGGATTTACATGCAAAGGACAGGAATGCGACAGTCCTGACCCCTTCTCTGCACCATCAGACACCCAGCACATTGCCGCTGATGTACAAGGAACGAGACTGACCACAAGGAACAAGTACGCCCGTGAGCAATGCCCCGTGCCCTTCCCCAAAGCTCTCCACCAAGGGCTCCAACCACCCGTGACAGCAGGAGAAGCCAGCCGTAGGGCTGGAGGGCCGGAGGAGGGCTCCGCGCCCCACACGCCTGGAGGGGAATGAAGGCACAAAATCCTGCTGCTTCAACCCCTGCCTTGCGCTGCCGCCCTTGATCCTTGTGCACAGACAGAGCGGAGCAGCACAGGAGGGGCACGTGTGCGCACGTGTTCCCATGCAGACACGCGTGAACAGAGACGGGACACGACAGAGGCCCAGGGTGACAGCCAAACAGCTGGGCGAAGCTCGCGGAGCAATTGCTGCCCCAAGGACCTCCACCCGCGTACCGAAAGGACGGGCCCCGTGGGGCTGAGAGAAGCAGATGGGACCTCTGCAAAGGCCTCATCCTGGCATGGGTTATTTCCTGGCCTGTGGGGCAGCTGGCTTATGGCCACCCAGGCCCCGAGCTGCTCAACAGTAATCCCAAGGGGAGTCATAGTCTGGGACAGGAGTTAAACCCAGTTTGCACTGACTGCACCCCAGAGGTCGGGGTGTGAGCCCATGCTGTGGCAAGGGGTTTGCCACCCACCACCAGTGCCTCACTGGCATCCTTGGCTTTGCCCTTCCCCTGGGGACCTGGAATATCCAAGGGAGACATCCCCAGCTAGCTGGCAGGACAGTCTCCTGAACTACGGGCACCTTGTTCCCAGGTCCAGGCTGCTGCACAAGGGACGAGGTCCACAGAGCTCAGCAGGGTTACTGGCCCCGGTGACTAGCTGCAGGGTGCCAGGCTGGGTGCCCCCTTTTGCGCAGGTGCCGCTGGCCCGGGCTCCGTTCCCACCCAGTGGGTGTGAGGAGCCGGCAGCAGGGGTGAGCAGCCTTGCAGGTGGCTTCTGGGTGGTGACATGGTGGGACCCTGCGCTCAGAGCAGCGCTGAGCTTCACCCATCGCTGTGAAGCATCACTCTGGACTACCTGTGGCCATGGCAGAGTGGCTTCAGCTGCACCAGCAGTGCTGAGAGGAGGCAGAGCTAGAGGAAGGGCAGCCTAACATGAATCAGAATTAAGGAGCTGGCCTTTATGCTTCAGTAAAGCTGCCAGAGAACAGCGTGTGCGATTCCTGGAGCACAGCCAGTGCCTTATTTTGAAGGGGGAGAAAGATGGACCTCCCTCCCCTCAGCCGGCCTCCTTCCTCACTGGGGTGTGCCGGTGCAGCGGGGCTCTGCTCCAGCATCTCACCTGGTTGATGCAACTGGACTCGTTGACGCTGTCAGAGATCTGGTTGTATTCTTCCTCCCAGGTCGGGAACTTCGGAGGTAGGAGGATCTCGACAGAGTCCAGGCGGTCCAGGCTCCTGCCCGCAGAGAGAGAGGGTGAGAGGGGTGTCCCCATGGCGGGGGCAGCGCTGGGGCTGTGCTGGAGCTGCCGCCCTGCCAGGAGAGCCAGACCACTCCTGCCCGCGGCACCCCTGCCAGGCACAGGCCCGCCTGGCAGCACGGAGATGATGCTGGGCACCGCTCTTGCAGCTCCTGGAGTAGAAGGAAGCACTTTCTCACCGTGCCAGCCCCTGGCTTGAGCTGTCGAGTCTGGCACATGGGTGAAGGTTTGCGGGCTGCCGGGGAAGGAGAGGGGACAAGCCCTTGGCTCCTGCTGCCCCCGGGAATGCGCTGCAGATGCCAGGTTAGTCCAGCCGAACCCCAGGGAGCACGCGGGATCCGTGCTGGCCCCCAGTCACAGCCCTGGGGACAGACCGGCTCTCGCACCGGCTGATGCTGGGGGCCAGGGTCAGGGAAGCTGGCTCTTCCCTGCCTGGACTGGTGGGAAGGGGGTGAGAGGGGGGGTGAGAAATGACTTTTAAATGGTATTTTGTGGACTTTGCAATTGGAAACACCTGTGGGATTTTTTCAGTTTTTTTTGATTTGTGTAGAGGAACCCAGACGATTATCTGGAAGAAGTTCCAGGGGAGCCAAGCCTGAATGCCAGTGCTGCAGGGGCAGGGGGGGTCGGTATTTCCAGAGCAGTTTTTGCTGCAGGCGCAGGGAGCAGCGCCGTCCCCGTGCCCTGGGGCTCAGCAGTGGCCTCTGCAGCAGGAGAAGAGCAGGGCTGTCACTGAGCCCGACCCAGCCAAGACCACAGCTACGGTCTCTGCTGAGACCCAGGCACACAGGGGCCGGGAGGGATGTGGAAGGATGGGAGGGACGTGGGAGGAGGAGGAGGAGGGATGTGGGAAGGATGGGGCTCCCCCATTCTTCTGTTCCACCACGAGACCCTGCGTGAAAGAGTCCTTGTCACAGATCAGGTGGGGCATGGCGGAGGACACGGTTAGCCACGCCAGCCTGGGCGAGCTGTGGGAACTCTCCCTCTTGAATCACCCGTGGTCCCTACAAAGGACCCTCGGGGTGCTACTTCCCAGGCGTCTGGCAGGGCCGTGGGTGCGGAGGTCTGTCCTTCACCAGCCTGGAGGACAGCGAAGCTGAGGGCAGGGTGTGTCCCAGCTGGGCAGGAGCCCCGTGCAGCCTGTGGACCTCCAGGAAGGACCACGGCACCTCCTGAGTCTCTGGCGCGGGGCGTGACGAGCACAGGGAGCAGCCTCTTCTGCCAGGGGTGATGGAGGAGACACCCAGCCCCCAGGGGACCCACTGCTGAGTAGCCAAGGGCAACGTGGCTCCCCAAGCCCTGGGCTATCTGTTTACTGCCTTGTTTCCCTCGGCCTGAGAGGGTTTTGTCCGTGAGCTCACCGCGCGTTCATGCTGTGAGCCAGTTGTGTCCTGGGGCAGGCAGTGTCTCTGCCAGCCTCCCTGTGCCCAGCCCACTGGGCTTCACCCTGACCTGCCCTCGCAGCCTGCCCATGGGGAAACCGAGTCACAAAGCAGGCAACAGACTTTGGAAGGGCAGAGAGCCTCTCACAGGGACGGATCGTGTCTCTCCTCTGTGCCTCGTCCTGGCTAAGGCTGCAGCTGTCCTTCTGCCTGCAGTCCCTCCTGTCCCAAACCCCGGGTCTGGTGCCCCGGGGGTGGTAGAGCCCGGAGATGGCCCCAGCAACTATGGACAAGGAGACGGAGGGTCTTGGTGAGGGCTGGCATGGGGCTGTGCCCGGGCACGGTGCCCCCGCTGCCGTCCCAAGGGTGTGCCAGGCTGGCGGGGGACCCCGGTGAGGCCCCGCAGCAACCAAAGCAGCCACAGCATCCAAAAAGCTCCGTGGTGGGGGGGGAGAGGCGAGGGGGTGGTCGGCAGATGGCAGCCATGCTCATGCTCTGGCGCTGCTCGGTTGGCGCTGGGGCCTGTCCTGTGCCCCGAGCCCGGGGCAGCCTGGGGCAGAGGGGACGGGCAGACCAGGGTGCGATGTCCCTCACTGGAGCGCAGCGCCAAGAGCTGCGGAGCCCTCTCCTTCCCAGGCAGCACCCTTCCCTCCAGCAAACCTCCTGCTGGGGACCAAGCGCTCACAGCAATGGCCGCGTCCAGCCCAGCCCTGCCCGGGCCCCTCCTCTCCTGTGTCGCTGCATCCACGGCTCGGCCGCTCTGCCCCTCCTGCTCCAACACCCTGCCCTGACTTAGCCCCTTCCTCAAAGCTGCCTGTCCGTGGGCTCCGGCTGGACCCCAGCAGCCCAGGTGGGGTCATAGCCCGACGGACATGACCTGAATGGACCATGAGCCCAAGACAGGAAGAACCTCGGTCTCTCAACTCGGGTATTTTGCATCAGAGACCCCTGGAGCCAACTCTGCTCCCCCTGAAGTGGATGTGAAGGCAGGGAACAGGGATGGATTCAGAGCAGCATTTCCAGGGCTTCTCGCAGTTAATTTTGTCGCCATCTCTCAGCAGAAAGCAGCACCTGGTCTGCAGTCTGAAGCCACCATGAGGGGTCTCCACGCTGCCTGCTGCGCCCTCACTTCCTTCGGGCTCCGTCTGCTGAACATCAGCAGTTCATCCGCGGTGGCTCCTGCCTCCTCCTGCTCCTCTGTGCTGCTCACACCCTCCCGAGCCGCAGCATCTGGGACACTGGCAGCCTGTCCCAGCCCCTGGGCGCCTTGTCCCGGGAAGCGGAGCAGCTGGCGAGGACACTGCAGAGCATCACCTCCGGCCAGGTGGCCCACACAGACCCCGTCCTGCAAGGACCAGCCTCTTGCCCAGCAAACTTTTGCTGTGTTCCCTTTGCTCTGCTGTCTATCTGTGGGTCTTCCTCCCTCAGTACCTGGCCCCAGACCTCCTCGCTCATCTCTCCTGGCCTCAGGGTATTTCCCAGCCTCGTGTGCCAACGGGGCACTTTCCGGCTGGTGCCAGAGCCCCTGGGACACCTGGGGAGCAAAGCAGATGGCACAGTCCCAGCAGCCCGCGGGCTGCGTGCCAAGTGTCCGCGGCCATGCTGGCTGAGCATCTTCCACGTCTCAATAGCATCATGGGGTTGGGACCTCTGCACTCCCTCGGAGGAGCAGGTGCTTAGAGAGGAAATCACACAGCTCCACCAAAGGAGTGCCCTCCCCATCACTGAGGGGACAGGGGCCTGGAGCAGGCTCCTAACACCAGGGCTATTTGGGGTCACCAGGATGGGAAGCTCTCTCCATTCCTCTGCCACCTCTTCTCCTGTCCTGCTTGTCTCCTCATCTGCCTGCCCCGTGGCAGTCCGAGCTGGTGTGCAGGAGCCCTGCTGGGCTCTGATCCCCACACGGGATCTCCATGTGGGTGCTGCTGGCTAGACCCCAAGGACTGCTTCTGGGGTGGCCCCTGAAGGCCTGGGCAGAGCTCCCGGAGGAGAGCAGGGCGCCGCCCCGAGCTCCAGCGTTACCTTTGGGTGGTGCTCTGCTCACTCAGGGACTGTTGGGTGGCCTTGAGGTAACTCTGCCTCCGAGCTGCAGTTTTCGGGGATGGTTTGGGGCTGGTTTCTGAGTCTTCACTATCATCATCCCCCATGGCTTTGATGTAACTCCCGCTCCGCATGCGCCGGCACGGGATCTCGCTGTCTTTGTCCCGAGACAGCGTGTTGTTCCACTCCCCCTGAGGCACCTGCAAGAGTAAGGGGAGCATGAGCAGGTGTGAGGGACAGCAGCTCTGGGACCAGCAGGATCACGGGGACTTGGGGGGACCGGTGGCAAGGACAACTGTTGGACCCTCAGCTGGAGTGCAGTGGGAATGGGCAATGCAATTCCTTTCCAACCCTCCCTTACCAGTTCATGCCAGGCAGCCCTACGTTTGACCACCTCTGTTTTAGCACATCAACCCACAGCCAGCCGCCCCCCACCACTGCAGACCACCTTCACGCCGGGCCATGCTTACAGAGCTGACACAAGCTGTGCAATGCCAGACATAACGGGGAGGGAAGAGTCTCACCAGGTTTGCACTGGGCACTGGGACAGGAGCGGCACACGCTTGTTCAACGCAAAGCCCACGCCCGTTTAACGTGAAGTGCACGTACTGTTCAGGCCAAGGCAATCAAGAGCTGTTGTAGACCAGGACCTGTGGATCAGAGCCCAGACCTTCACTAGGTCCAGCACCCTTTAAGGTTTCTGAGTTGAATGTGACTCTTAGTGGCTGAAGTTCATTTCTGAAGCCAAGCCAGGCCCTCACAAGTCCCTCTAGAGCAGCTCAGGCACATAGACCTGGTGCTGGCCTCTCTACTCGGAGATGAGTAGTACCTTCTGCAAGAAAAGCACTTCTAACTTCACTGAGATGACAACTCTGCAGTTAATTTAAGGCAGACATGGTCTCTTGTTCCCTCATTAGAGATGGGCGAGATGACGTTTCCATGAGAGAGCCAGAGCACTGAGCAACTGAAGTCACCAACGCCATCGCCTGCCTGTCCTGCGAAGGGTTTGCATAGGCGACCAGAGGCACGGCCAAGGTGCTCGGCCAGCAGTGGGGCCAGATGTCAGCCCAGGACTGAGCAGGACGAGAGCCACACGTGGTGTGGGACAGGCCAGGAGAAAGATGGGGCAACCTGAGTTGCCAGGAGCAAGCCTTGGTTTCGTGGCTATCTTGGTTTGCAGCTGGCCTTTGGCCCGCCCTTGAGCTGAGGAGACGTGGTCAAGGAGAGGCAAGGGGAGATGTGAGGAATGCAGCAATGTCAAACCAGGCAGGGCCCGGGACAGCCCGCGGCCCCCGGCTGCTGCGGGAAGCGGCCTGGCTGGGCCGTGCCGCGGGGAGCAGCCAAGGGTCCTGCGCTGAGTGCAGCTCGTGCTGCCGAGAGCATCCACGTCGGCTCTGCTGGATGGAGGTGTTGGATTCGCCCAGCTCCCCGGGGGGCTGTGGCATTACTCAGCCAGCGTTCAGACAGCGCTTTGGGGATGCAGAGCTGTGTTGCAGCCAACTGTGATGAGCCATTAAGCGCTGCATGGTTCCTGCTCCCCTCCTTGTGCACAGCGGGCATGTTCTGTGGGAGCCCCGTACGGACCCCATCCCTCTCCTAGGGACAGCCTCCACCAGCTTCCCCGTCGCATTGCGACAGCCCACTGGTCCTAACTGGGCTGCCTTATTTCTCCTCTCCCTTGCCTGTCTTCTACTTTGTGCCTTGGCAAGGCAGCAAGAAACAAAGCTGCTCTCAAGGTGCTCCACATTCCAGTTTAGCAGCGTCACGGGGAAGGAAGATGCCTGGCAGGACACCCTTTGAATCTGGTGCCCCAGTTTGGAGCGTGTCCTGCCTCTGTCTGCACGCAGAGTCCATGGGGACTCCACAGCTCCTGCTCCCGTGGGACAGAGCGCAGGACAAGTGTTTCAAAAGTGCCACACCTGAAAAGACAAGTAGGCGCCCTTGGGGATCTTCGAAAGCAGTGCAGGGACTTGAGGTGCTGCTCAGGACCCTCCAGGGTGCTTCTCTGCACCTTCAGGCACCTGAGAGACTGTCCCACAGTCTCTGAAGCTGTGCAATGGGGTGAAGAGCCCAGGGCACCTCCTGTTGCCAAGGGACAGACCTCGATGGTGGCCAGTGCAGCGCCTCGATGGCAGCAACATTCCGGACACCTGAGACCCTGGGCTCTGAACACAGCCCGTGTGTTACAGAAAGGGCAAAGTGGAAACGAGGGCTGCCTTGCGTCGCACCGAGGCCTGGCACAGAGCGGCTCAGGAGGTTCCTCACAGGCTGTGGGAGCCTTGCTGCTCTTCATGCTGCTCGCCCAGAGGTAGGCTTGGTTCTGCCCGTGGTGGTTTGGCTGGGGTGAAAGGGGTGGGAGCAAGAGGATGCCCAGGTCGAGAGCCCTCCCCTGGCACAGTGGGGATCCACCCTGCCCAGTGGCTGCACGGGAGCGGAGGAGCGGGCAGCAGAGATGCTCTGCCAGGCTTCAGGATGCCGATCCTCCTTTCTGCCCGGTCCTGGTCCGTGCGGTGCCCCATGGTGCAGGCATGTGGGATCCAGGCACATGTCCGTCCCTGGGAGCTGGGCTCCGCTGGCACCGTCCTGCCGCAATACTGCACGTTCCAACGAAGAGAGCCTTCTGGCTCTTCTGCTCTCTGTGTCGAGCTGAGCACGGAGGGAAAAGGAAAGAAGTGGCCACACAGAGACTTTCTCCCACCTTAATTCTGGCTGGGGCATTCCCCAGTCACCTGGAGCGTTAACAGAGGGGAGAGCGGAGGGGAGGGGAAAACTCCGATCCTGGGTGCTGGGCAGGAGCGAAAGAGCTACCCTGTTCCCATCGCTTTGGTGAGGTTTGGGGGAAGAGAGACTCAGGGAGCAAAGAGGGTTTCCATTCTGTGTGCCAGCTCTGACACGCAGCCCTGCCCCGGCACACACGGACATGCACCGCACACGAATGCACCCGCCGAGGCACCGCGGGGCCGGACGCAGCGTGCAGGGATGCACGTGCCATGTAGCCAGGCTCCAAGGTAGAGACTGAGCCCGATGCGGGAACACGGCCGCTCCCTCCAGGGCCGGATCCCTCGTGGTGTCCCGAGGGCTATGTGTGATCTCAGGCACATCCTCAAGAAAGCAAGCTGGAGCCCAGGCTGCCTACGGGCTCCATCTGTCCTTCTGGCAGGGCACCTTCTGGGACAGACCGGGGCCAGGTTTCCTGCCCCATGGGCAGCCCGGTGGGGCTGGTGTGAGGGCAGCCAGCATCTGCGGAGTGGCTAGCACGGAATGGGTCACCCGCTCTGGATTACAGATTTATTTTTGCGGCTACTGGGGGTTAAGGAAGCTTCGGTACAGACTGTAAGTGGGGTTGGGGAGGCTAATCGGGTGATGCACCAGGCTAATGGTGCCTGTGGCATGACTCTGTCCCCTGGGAGCCCCAACACTGCCCATCCCTTCTGTGTGGTCTCATATCCAGACGGGTCTGAGTCCGTGTCTGGGGCCGAAATGCTGATCAGCCCTGCCTGCTCCTGTTCACCCCCTGCCCGCTCCTGTTCACCCCCTGCCCGGGGCATCTCTCACTCCAAGGAGCTTCTTGGCCCTTGGGATCCTGACCCCTCAGCCTCTTCCCTTGCACCCCCAGCCGCACGTGGGGCCCATGGGGAGGGGAGAACAGGGGACGGGGAGTGCAGCCTCCCTCCCTGGGGACTGTGCTCTAAGGACAGTGCTGTGTCGCCTTGGGGACTGCCCCCGAGAAACCCCCCACCCTCACGGGACAGGGCTGGACCCGGAGCTGGGTGATCACCCACTCTCAGCTCCAACGTCTGGGTCTGGGGATGGGCCTGGAAACATCACAGGGACCCCCAATAGTCCCCGATGAGCCCCAAGGCTACCCAGAGCCTGCAAATGGGGCAGGGGAGGTGAATAGCCTTGGGGGCTTACCCCAGCCTGGAGGCTGGGGGGTCCCGTTTGTCCCCATCCCACTCCTCCTGCCCTCCCTCACATCAGAGGGGCACTTCTCCACCTCTGGGACCCACTGGGCATTTCTGCCTTGCAGCAGCCCCGACCGCAGCAGGGCAGGGCCCCCGTGCTCCCCAAGCACCGGGCTCTGCGGGCAGGCAGATGCATGCGGTCCCTCAGCATGGCACAAACAGGGAGGGGGCTCGTCCTGCTGCAGGGAGGAGCGGGTGGCAGGGGACACGTGGCCTTGCAAAAGGACGTTTCCCACACACCGGACTCCAGAGGTGATGTCTCCATCTGAGGAGGGGTCTGGATACAATCGTCCCATCCTACCCCAGGGCCCCCAGGTCTGTGTCCTGCCCTCTGGGGCTCACACTGGGCGGCCGAGGGCAAGCTCAGCCCAAGCATCTGAGACCTGTCGGCTTGTGGGGCCACCGAACATCACGTTTTCTGGACTGGGTGCCCGGGGCCTTGGCTTTGCTGGCGAGATGCTGCCGGCTGCGGGGGCTGCCCCAGGCGCTCAGGATGCCGGTCACACCCCGGTGTCCCCCAGTGCCCCTCCAGCCATGCTGACAGCGGCTGCCGGCTGCTCCCTACCCAGGCTGCTCCCGCTCCGAGTCTGGTGGCGCAGGCTGCTGACCCCGTCCGATGGTCCCAGGAGGGTCAGGGCGGGGAGGGAGCTGGGCAAAAGCTTCCCCTCAAAACAAGATCCCTACCTGGCCGCTGCCTGCGTCGGTCGGCCCGGGGCTGAGGGGCTGGTCCCACCTCCGCGGGGGCTCGCTCGGCTGCAGCGGGGCGGCACCCGTGTCCTCCCAGCCGAGCGGTGGGGCTGCCCAGCTGCTGGCTGGGCTCACGCCACCCAGCTGTGCCCACAGCCCTCCGTCAGGCTGTCGAGAAACGGAGGCTCATTACATGGGTGGGGAACAACGAGCAGGGCAGTCTCGTACCCCCGGCCGTGGCAAACCCCGGGAGGTGAGGGGCTGTGGGGGTAGCGTTCGGCACCCGGGGCTGCCTGCACTGCGCTCTGCTGCTGCACCCTGAGGGGGAACCGTGCTGGCGGATATTTTGTCTGCAGCTCTTCAATCTCCTAACGCTTAACTGAAAGGAGGGGGCAAAGAAAAAGAAACCAGGCCGAGAACATTTTTTCTGATGACGTTCCTGATGCAATAAGTCCCTCTGAAATTTGATTTGCAGCCGTGGTCAGCAAGGTATTGGAAGCAGAGTGCGCTTCAGTAATTCATTGCTCTTTAAAGCCTCTAAGCCCGCTGGCCACAGCCAGGGGAGCCCACAACACCTTTGCATTAAAAAGGATGCTGGAGATTTACATACGTAGACTAGTCCCCTCTCCCCCCGTCCAGGCCTGGCTTATTTATCTTCATTCCTCTCTCTAGGGCACAACCAGGTTTATGTTCTTCAAGCGCCGCTTTTTGAAACCACCACAGCGACCTGGTGCTCTTGGTGACGGGGGGTTCAAACCAGCATTAGCCATGCAGGCTTCTGCCATGCAAGCGGGTGGCTGGCACTGCCCTCCTGGCCCCACAGCCCTGCCCGCGGGCGGGTGAGCAGCAAAGGCAGCCATGCCCCGCAGAGCTGCAGGTCCTACCAGCGCTCCAGGGAAGCTCTGTAGAGCGGGGCTTACTGGGCACGCCGGCACATCCTTGCGACGCGTGGATATAAGGGGTTAAGCATCAGTTATTACTGGTGACCTTCAGACCGTGGGATGGTGGCGGTGCTTGGCCGGAGGCCGGGGAGTTGTGTCTGGGTGGGCTATGAGCCGCGGCCCCTCGGCACGCCCAGCTGCCGGGGCACCGAGTGGGAACAGCTACGTGTGGGCAGCCACGTGCCCGGCTGCCCAAGAGCCCAAGCACCTGCGGGGTCTGGGCGGGCAGCGCCGGAGTGCCGGCGTCCTGCAGCAAATGGGGATCACAGCAGAGGGTGCCGAGGCTGCGGTGTGGGCACATCACCTCCTCCCCATGCTGCCGTGGTCCAGCACAGGGGCTGTGGGTCCTGGGGCAGCGCTGCAGCTGGGGGAGCTGGACCCCAGTCGCACCAGCATCCCCGCGGAAGGGCTGGCGGTCTGCCCCCGGGGCCTTGGTGAATTTATCCCCCCCAGCCCTCTCCTGGCAATGGGACTTGAGGTGGCAGCTGAACCACCTGGAGCTGTTTGATAAGGTCTACTGGGGAACAGGGCGCCTACCGAGAGGGTGTCCCCTGTCTTCCTGCGCTCTCCCTGCATGGAGCAAGCCACAACCGCTCCGCTGCACCCACCTGCAGGTAGTGGTAGGCCAAGTCTTGATGGCAGGACTTGGATTTCAGCAAGGCTTTGTCGATCGTGGCGGAGGCCTTCTGGCACACTTCCCGGGCATGGCTGAGCGTCAGCGTGGACCAGGAGCCCCTCTTAATGTAGTTGGAGTCATTGTTGATGGGGATATTGGTGCAAGGGGTGACCTTGAGGTCGTTATTGCTCTTGGAGGATTTCAGCATGTGCTCGCTGATGGTATTGTAAGCGTGCATGAAATACTTCGGCTGGCTGTGGTCCGGCTGCCGGCCCAGTGTCATGAGGCCCATTGGGTTGCGGTAGCTGCAGGTGTCGCTGTCTAAGTTGTCATCTGAGCTCCACCAGCCTGATATGTTGGATCTGGTCCTGCGCTTGGGCTCGGAGGTCTTCGCTCGGTCTTTGCTCTTGCTCCTCCGGTTTTGCTTGGGGTCATCCGCCCCCTTCTTGCCATTCACGTTGCCTTTGGCGGGGCCCTCCAGAGACTGGGACTTGGCGAACAGCTTCTGGACAGAGTGGACAAGGTGCCGGATGCGCCCGGGGCTCTCGCTCCGGTGCTTCGCGTCGCTCCTCTGAAACTGGAGGGTGCTGAAGCCGTCTCTGTGGATGGGCAGCTGCTTCTCAAACTGGTCAAGGAGGTTGGCAGGCAGGCGGTTGATTTTAGTGGCTTGGGCATGGCTCGGAAAAGGGTTGTCATCCGGGACCTCGAAGTGGGAGTTGTAATGGATGCGGGGGAAAGTGCTGCTGTTGGAGATCTGGTTGTTGAGTGGAAGCAGACAGTCGCCGTGGAGGGTATTCTGGGCTGGGAACCGGGGGTCCATGGTGAAGGAGTCGGTGGGGCTGAGGAGATAAGGGTTCCTGTCCTGGGGGGCATAAAGAGAGTCTTGAGGGGAGTCCAGGTTATCGGAGAGGTGGCGGCTTCTGTTATCTCCTAAGCCCTTCATGGTCCCGGCGTTTCCTAGAGCATCGCTCAGGGATGGGGCGGCAGAGCCCCTGCAGGAGCGCCGAGCCTGCTCCCCCGCAGACCTCCCCGCACCTGGAGGAAGAGGAGAGATGCTGAGAGCCTGCCGGGAACCTCTTTGGCAGCCCGCGCCTCACTGGGGTGTCCTTGCGAGGGCCGTCCCAGCTGGAAAAGCAAATGCCCCCAAGGTTAAGGGACGAAGGAGAGAAGCAGGACGGGAGAGGGGTGACATGGCAGGAGGGGAGGAGCAGGGGCCCGAGATAAGGGGCTGGAGAGCACAGGGTACAGGAGAGGAGGGGAAGGATTCATTCTTCCTAGCTGCAGTTTAAGTGCTTGTGGGTCCCAGCGCTCAACCACAGGCTGCTTAACTAATGCTGCTGCTATTTTTCTGGTCTCTGCACATGTTTATTTAATAGAGTCCCTTCCCCAGCCAGCGTAACAAAGGCTAGCAGGGGCGCTGCCAGCAAATCACTGCTCCTGTCCCATTTGTTCAGAGGGCTGGAGAAAAACCTGCTGTCAAACACGGCACACGGGCCTTGCCCGAGCCAAGGGAAGCCTGGAGCCGAGCATCCCGTCTTCTGCATTATGCTTTGTGTTTCTGTGGTTACTGGATCTCAGAAGGGGGCTGGCAGCCCTGCTCTGGGTGTTGCGTGCAGCTGCGCTAATGCGATATGATGTCAAACGTCTCCTCTCCAACAAGCGCCCTGGTTTATGGCATGTTTTACCCTGGAGGAAATTGTTTCGGTAGCTACGATGAGAGCAGAGGTGTTTCTGAACACTCAGAGCCTGACCTGAGAAGCTGTTTGCTGCTCAGTTGATCTTTCCTGCCTTGCTGCATCGCTCCTGGGGGAGCTGTGTCCCCCCCGAGCCTGGCCGTCCGCCCCTCGCTATGGTCCCCGCTGCCGGAGCAGGGGGCCGAGGCTGGTGCCTCTGGCCCGCTCAGCAGGCACAGGCATCCCCGGGGGGTGGCGGAGGGGTAGCCGGACACGGAGGGTCCCTGTGGGGCAGGGGAGCTCCTCACTGACGGTTTCTTTGGTGCACCTGCCCCGTCCTGCTCGGCTCAGAGGGCTCCTCACCTGCACTGGTTTATACAGGAAAAAAAGACAAATTTTTGGGGCTGCTTAAAGAAAATCAATGAACATATAGATGCGTTAAGTTGATCAATCAATGTGTTGATTTTCCATACTTAAAACCTATTTGAAATCATGTAGTGTATAAACTAATTCTTATTTCCTTTTACCTTTCAGTTTCCTATTTCCTTTTCATTTTAGTTTGAGTGCAGCTTGAAGGCAACCAGCAAACACTGAAGCATCCTATGGGTGTAAAAATCTGGAGAACCGGTATCCTAGACTACTGCAAAATCCAGAGCCCCAAAACACGTCTGCGTAGGTGAACGGCCGCTCCTTGGTAAGATGAAGGGGCTGCTCTGGGAGCTGGGACGCCAGGCTCTGTGCAGAAGAGCCATTTTCCAACCCTAGGGTGATCCAATGTTCCCCAACATGCGCCTGGAACGGAAAATAGCGCCTGGGCCCTCAGAGCCTCCAGTGAGCTTGTGAGAAAGAAAACCATCATTTGCTTCTTCCTAGAGAGCAAGTAGGATAGCGGTGTGTCCCTGCGAGGAGCTGAGCTGGTGGCCTGGGCTCCGGGGTTCTCCCTGTTCAGCCACAAACTCGACTCCGGTCTCCCCGCGGAGCCTCTCCTCCTGCGCGCAGGCCCGGCAGCAAAAGCAGCTAGGACCGAAGTGGTGCGGGGAGCGGAGTCGGCAATCACCGAGGGACGATAGGGACCGAGAGACTCGTTTTCCTTCCTCACGCAGGGAAAAATGTATTAATAATGAAAAGCAGCTAGGCTTTAAATAATTGTTTGGAAGCACAAAAAGAAGAAGTGGAATGTCTTCCGTAGTTGACCTGGGCCCTGCAGCTGGTCCGGCTGCCTTCACCTACAGCCTGGTGCCCTGCCACGTGGCCTGGGCTTTGGTGGTGTGGGAGAGACGATTTGGCCCTCAGGCCTCTCCAGCAGACGGACAGTGCCCGTGTGCTTTGGGGATGAGGACATGGCTGCTACCCTGGCCTGAGCTGGGGGAACTCCGAGGCCAAACCTGCCCTTCTTGCCGGAACACCCAACGCAACATTAGCCTTGACCGGTGTCCTGCTGCTCATGGCGGGCGCCATCCCTTTCCCGTTGTGCTCTGCAGCAGCTAGGTGCAGCAGCCTCTCTGGAGTCCCTCGCCCATGGGACAGCACCCGTGTGAGCTGGTGGAGCAGCAGTGGGTGCTGGCTGGAGAAGTGCCACAGAAGAGAGATGCACGGATGTGCCAGATAGCCCTGCTCCTGCTTTGTGCGAGCCGGCATCAGCGCAGTGGTTAAAGAGCAGTGACAAAAAGCCCCAGGAGATGTTCCCAAAGGAAACCCTCTGGGCAGAAGAGAAGGATGGGGCGTAGAAGGACAGGCTCCAGACTGAGCCATCCGTCTGGTCCTTTAAATTCCAGATGGCCCCAAATGGGCAAGCTCAACCCTGCT